GTTGTAAAGAATCGATACTCTTCTTAGACTATATTTGTTCTTGCTTAGTTTTCTCATTTGATGCAGGGCAAATAGGATGAGCAAAATCAGATTTTGGTGTTCTCTGAGGTCAGCATAATATTATAGGCAGAAATTTGTCTTGGGGCTGGGGATTTAGCTCAGCGGCACAGTGCCTGCCTGGCAAGCACAAGGTCGTGAGTTCAATTCCTGGTACCAGAAAAACAAGCCAAACCAAAACAAAACAAAACAAAAAAAAGAAATTTTTCTTAAAGTCACTTGACTGGTAACCTGGAGACTAGGACTCTTCTACTGTATCAGACAGTTGTGACCGTGGGAATCTTGTCTAATTCTTCGACCTCATATGCTTTCTTTGGAGACGGCTCAGTGAATTTCTCTACCTCTCTCGTTCCTTCTGGTTCTAAGATTCCTAGAAGTAACCTCTGCCTGTAGAGCTGAATTGGGACCCAGCCTGGGGAATACTTAGTTCTGGGAGTTCAGCCTCGCTGCACCTCTTTTACTCCTTGCTTGTCGTGTTCCATGGGAAGGACTTTTGTTCTCATTCTTATTTTGGATTATACCTGTGTGGGCACCTCACAGTCACATTCCTTGTGGGGTGGTGGTGCAGGTACAAAGCACGTCTTCCTTCTTCACCCCCTTCCTCTCGCCTCGCCCTCCCTCCACGTCCTGGCCCACTTCCCTTTTATAAAAGCTGGGTCTCCCTGTGTCCTGTTATCTGTCTTTTATTTTGCTCTTTATTTATATTTTGGGTTTCTCATATAAGACAAATCATGCAACATTGAAGCCTGTGTTTCTGATTTATTTCACTTACCATTATAGGTGAGCTCATTTTCCTACAAGTGGCTCAAATTTATCCTCCTTTACGCCATGCTAACGGAGATGGAAGATCTCAAAATCTCCATCCCAACTCCATTCCACTCCAGCTCTGAGACTTCAGCTCATTCCCTGGACATTACTAGATCCTCTTTCTTAAGTGAAAAACAACAATCGTGCTTGTTGGCTTAGATAGGTCATAGTGAGAATTAAATATTAAACTACGTAGAAATCATAACTTCCCACGAAACAAGAGCAATGATGATTTTAAGAAGCAATGCTCGGAACTTCCTCAAAAGTCTTTAAAATGCTGCACATTGTCTCATCAGGCTGTGAACAAAAGAGCGCAGACCAGGCTGCTTCCACAGCAGACTTCTTCTCAGAGTTTCCGAAGCTAGTGCAGTCCACGACCAAGGGGCCCTGGAGCAGGGCCTGCTCCTGGCCTGTGGACGGCCGTGTCCTGTGTTTATGTACACATGACAGAGGATGCTCTGTGACTCTTCGCTTTCTCTCCCTTCATGAATTCATCTAACCCTCATTACTGCTCAGAGGGCCTGCCTCCTAACGCTGACACGCTGGGACTTAGTATGTGCATTTGAGGGAACACATATTCCTCCGTACATGTGTTACTTTGAGGGAAAGGTGTTAGCACACTGAGATATGTTTTGATATGCCCAGAGAAATTCAGGTCATTCACAGTTTGAATGACTAATTTCCTATTAAAATGCTGACGATAGGCAGAGGGCTACAAACTCAAAATGTCAACAGTGAGGTCATCTCACTTTTGCAATTCCATACATTATAAATTTCTACCGAACTGTGAGATTCTTAAGGATCTGTATCGATACGCAAGATTATGTTTGCATTTTATGTGTGGAAATACAGATGTGACTAGAAAATGAGTTTTAACGAATTGCTGTGTATCGAGCTGGTCCTTCATTGATGGGCCCTCATCCCTATTGTGTCTCTAGTAACAGCCTTGCCAGAGAAAGAGTGCTGTTTAAAGATTTCCTCCCACCAGACCCTATGCAGAGGTGCGGAGATTTTCCTAAAAGTGTGGTCATTCTGTAGTGCGAGCCAAGCGCCACTGCAAAGCACATCTTCCACTCTCCTTCATTAGAGGGGAGACCTGAGAGGTTGGGAAATTACAGAAGGGTCTTGTAACCAGCAGGCTGACTAGCAGGCTCTGAGGAGGGCAGGCTGAGGGACCCCTGTTCCACCACTGTTGAGCTGTGTGACCTTGGGAGAGGTAGGTTTAGCTTAAGCCTTCAATTCCACACCTGCAAATTGATAGCAACGCATAGATAAAAGTGCCTGGTACATAATAAGCATTCAGTCTCCTTTACTCATGTGTCTAGGTCAGGCAGCCATACTTCTTAGCCCCCAGTCCTGTGTGCTTTCTGCTAGACTTTGCGCTGCATGAGTAACGTTGCTTTGAACTGACACCGTTACGTGCGTTCTTAAGAACCTTGTCTTCTAATATCAGTCTGTTCAGATTTTTAATAATGCAGGAAAGCGGCTTGAGGTTGGCCTACAGAGATTTTTATGAACCAAAGGGTTATTTTTAATTGGATTTTGTGCCTATTGTTATGGAAATAGTTGTTTCATAGATTAAGCATTATGACTTTACTGAAAGATCAAGCCCAGAATGGGCTGTAATGATGATATCATCCTTATGCTTTTATTCCTTCACAAAACAGATTTAAAATTAAAAGATCAGGAGTAAAGCAGCTTCAGAAGCACGCATTTATAAGAAGAAAATATCTCCCTTATAAAAATAGCTCTAAAATGACATATTCTCTTTCCAAAGATCAAAGGTAAGGATGACCCTAGCTGCCGGTAGGATGCTCGGCGGCTGTGGGTTATTAAGCACTTCTTTCTCCGTTGTTGAAAGTAGAAAGAGTTCCTTTGATCCTGGAACCTACTTTCAACATTTGGTCCCACAGCATTTCTGCAGTTGCCGAGCTAACAGGCTCCCGCTTGTTTTTTAGTAATCAACCTCTCAAAATTGTGTTGTGCAGAGGAGTTTTATCCATGTATCTGGACCTCTAATATAACTATTCTAAAAAAACAAAAGCGAAGAGGTCTAAGCTTAGCGGTAGTTGGTATTATGAACTCACACTGCAAATGCTAGTCTATATCTCTGGCTAATTTTAAGCCCCAGAGGCATGCTAGCCAAGGGAGACAGGGTTTATTAACACCAGAGCAAAAAAATCAAGGGCAGCGTGGATAACCCAGAATTCAGACAGCAGACAGTGATCTTGTATGAATGGATGCCGCAGATTTTCTTCTGCTTGCTTCCCTGGGTTTTGTACTTTCTTTTCTTTCTCCTTCTTGCTGGGTTGTATCTTTGTACTCTGGTATGTCTTCCTGTGATCCTTAGACAGGAATTAGTCTTGCCAGCAGAATTTTTGTAAAGAAATTTCAAATGCTGTTCCTGATTCTCAGTCAGTAGAAAGCCATGAAATTTAATGATGCTGTTTCCTTTGTTAATTTATCGTTTTCTCATTGATTCAATGTACCAGCAAGTTTAAGTACACCAGAAAAAGGCATGTGAGAAGCCTGTCAGCAAGTGATACCCACAAAGAGTGATCGAAATAGACAGTTACGTTTTAAAGGTCTTATAGAGAAGGTGCATTGCCATCAACCCCCTTCGAATTGCTCCCCCTTGCTCTGAACAAACTTCTTCCGGCGTCTTTGCCACTTTCTGAATCACTTCTGAAAGTCCTCTTTTGTGAATGTCTTTCTGAGAGGTGACAGACAATGCAGTGAATGCGATGTGAAATACTGCTCAGCGGAAAGGCAGGCGGTGGATGCGCCTCGGTGGGCCCTCATCTGCCCTACCCAGTGGACCTGGCACTGCGTGACTTCCAGCTCTTCCTCCAAGTCAAAAACAGCCACGAAAGGTGAATGTTTGGAAGTGATGCAATGCACTGAGGCAGCCACAGCACAACTACGTTCGTAAAAGGGAATTTCCAGAACTACTCTGGAAAGTAGCAGGAATGATGGGATAAGCGTGTTTGAAGCAACGGGGAAAGTTTTCAGGGGGCTTGATGGCAATGTGTCTTTTACTCTAATAGTAAAAAGGTTTAGCATTTACTATATTTTTGATCATGTCTCATTTAAATATATTTTTCTAAGAGAGTCATGTTGCATTAATGGAATATTTTAATACAAATTTCACTTATATTAAAAACACTGACCTTTCTTTGGTTTTTAAGTCGAAGAGAAACATACTCTGACTTTGTCATTTCAAAAGTTTCCACTAAATGCCTTTCTGAAATACGAGGTCTGTTCTCAGTCTGCTTGCATTCTATTTCTGTACATGTGCATAGATGGACTGGGCGTTACTTTCTCGGCCTTTTTCAAATTCTTTTCTTTTTGTCTGCTGGCTGGTAACCCCTGCCCTCTAAAACCACTTGTCCCACCTCACACCACACAGGCCCTCAAGCTGGGCCATCTTTGTTTCTTCTGCTTCCTCCAAGTCAAAACTTTCCCCCATGTGCAGAAGCTCCTCCGCCACATGGTGAGAGTTTCAGGATATTGGTCCCTTAGCTCAAAGGAAGGGTAAAGACAGAACAGTGCACAAATGTAGGAGGCCAGTGACCCTGAGAGCTTAGTGGATGCTGGAGTCACAGGAAAGGAAGCACAGAGGTCCCTAAACCACTGACAGAGTCTAAGCCACCACTGACCCCTTCCCTGAATGGAGCACACTAATGACCAGGATCACCGATCTCAGAGATTACGTGACTGCTAACCTCTTCACACATGAGAATGAGACCAGTGCAAAAATCAGACAATTCCTTTAAAGAAAGTGTGTGTAGATCCGTAGGGTTCTCAACGCTACATTGACTGTGCCTATTTATGACAACAGGTTAATTCATTTGTTTTAAGTCGATGAATAAGGTTTAAACGTTCTGCAATTGTCACACCCGAATGTTTGTTAACTAGTCATTTTCCTTGCTTGCTCTGACTCTGATGGGCTTGAAAAATGGTCCAGCCAGTCTCTCTTCTCTCTCCTCTCTCCTCTCTCATTTCTTCCTCTTTCTCTCTCTCTCCTCCCTCTCCCTGGCTCTCTCTCCTTCCTTGTCTCTTTCTCTCGCTTCTGTGAGGTTCGTTTGCTTGACTGATCCTGAGTGTCCATAATGACTGTTTGGCATATTCTACAGGCAAAGGTCCCGAGACCCTTTTTGCTGGCTATAACCTCAATGATAACGAGTGGCACACCGTGCGTGTGGTCCGTCGGGGAAAGAGCTTAAAGTTAACGGTGGACGACCAGCAGGCCATGACAGGTAAGCAGCCTCTTCTCATCACAAATGTTCACACTCTCACTTCTTGCAGGTGACACGTGCCGGTAGAGAATACGAAGCTGATGCACACAGTCCACTTCTAAGTCCAATCTTTAGTAACAACTTCATGAGTAGCCTGTGAAGGATTTCCTTCTGCACAATCAGCACCTTTCACGTCATGTTTTTGTCCTTTAATAATTCCAGAAGAAATTGTAGTATATTTTAATTTAATGCCTTGATAAATATCTTAGCGCCTCATAAAATACTGATGCTTCCACATCAATGCCAATTTGTGTTCAGATTCCTTCTTTTTTTGTGAATTTTGATGATGAAAAGAGGGAAGTTCTACTTTCTATGTGCATTGATAGATAAAGTGACATTCTGTCAGGTGAACTACTTTTATATTCTATTATATGAGCTTCTATTATGCGATCATAGAATAGTTTGGTTTTGGTCATTTAGCTCCGTTGGCTCAAATCTAATGGAAAGGATGTCAAGTTCAAGTCTTAATGCATAGGATTAAGGTGCGCTTTAATGCACCAAGACCCACCCGGGAGACACAGGGAGGACAAATGAAAGAGGACTCGGCACACAGTCATCTTCTCTGAAATCAATCCAAGCACGTGTCCCAGGCGGGTATTCGCTCCTGTTTCTTTTGTAGAGGACACCGCTGTGTTAATTCTTTCACTGCAAAGCATAAGGCAGTCCCTGTGCAGTGGAAACACACCTGTTCTGCATTCAATCCCATGAAGCTCCCAAGCTCAGAGAATAGTCAACTCTGTCAGTGTGGAAACAGCTTGCATGGGACTACAACTTTTGAAAGAGTCCTTCTCGAGTTGAAATGAAGGAACTATCAACCCATAGCTCTTTGACTGTCCTACATTTTATCAGCCAAAATATGGCTTTCCAAATTTTTTTTCTACATGTGAAACTTGCTGTGGAATTCTACTTTATTGTGGCAGTTGACTTTGTCTCACGACCACCCGAAGGGAGTTAGAGGATGGTTGTGGAGCCTTGTGCCACGGGAAGCCTCAGGGGAGCTCAGTCATCCATTTTGCTGCACACAGCTCCAGGGGTCTTGAACGCAGCCAATGCGTGGGTCTACACTGAGAAGTCCCTGCTATGTTATGCATTTCATTCTCTGAAGAAGAGAATCAAGCAGAGCATTGTTAGCAGAAGCCTTTATTCTAGACTGCCAGGCACGGGAAAACTGGGCAAGATCATGTAAGCTGAGGGAGGGAGGCAGAGTTCTCCAGGGCTTAGGCCGGATACTGTCCCCTGGAGCTCAGGGAGTTTGGGTCAGGACTGCTCTTGGAAGAAAAATAGATTGTTGTTGTAGCTTAATATTCATCATTTAAACATTGGAATTTTATCCAAAGGGGTGAAAATGAGCAACGTCTAAATTAAAATCAGGAAGTACAGAGCAGCCAGGGGCACAAACATACAAAACCGGCGCAGAACGCTCCCTGGTCTCTGAGTCTCTGTCGGAAGGCACCACCCTGTGAAGGGGGCGGCGGGGGATGCATTTCTATCTTAAAGATGGGGAAATGTGCTCAAGAGGACTCATCAGTGTGTCTCATTGAACTTCCTTTGTTAGGAGCACTGAGAAGACAGCCTAGGCCTGGTTTCCGCTCTTTTGTTTTCTTTGGTTGGTTGTTCTGTTGACTCACTGTCCATTCTTTTGTACTCATGATCATCCTGCCAAGTTTGGGCAGCATGCTAAGCACTTTCCAAGCGGTAACATCGTATTGCGAGGGTGAGAAGTACACATAAAATTCAGGTGATACATTCAGGCATAGTGGCACATACCTGTAATGCCAGCACTTGGGAGGCTGAGGCAGGAGGACCGTTGCAAATATGAGGCCATCCTGGGCTACAAAGTGAGCTCAAGGCCAGCCTGAACTGCATAG